TGTTTGCTCAATATGGCATGTCCTGTTAAAAAACAGTGACAAAGAACTTATGTAAAAGCCTTAAGATTTTGCAGAATTAATAATATATCAGCGTAATAAGGAGACAATCTATAATAATCTGAGGCTTATGAATCTAATTGGCGCCTACTTTCGAGAGTGTTTGACCGATTTATATTGTTAAATATTTTCAATACACTGATTTTCACCATATCCATTTTTCTTGATATGTTTATCGAAATGATTATCGCTTTATATTTATCGATGTCGTTATCATTATCGATATAACTATAAAGGTAATTATAGATACATTTTTGGATATCTTTATAGTTATTTTTAAAATTATCAATAAATTTATCAGCAAAGGTATACCACTTAAAGATAATTTATCTTCAATCAAATTAAGTGATTATTGTGTCTAAGAATAATTATCGATGAATTTATCGGAAAAAGCATTTATACTACTAAAAGATAAGTTATCTCTAATCAAGAAAGATTAATCGCAATAAATTTATTAGCTATTAACTTATCTCTAATCAGTATGGATTTTTATCAATTTCCCTAGCATTTTATCTATTAAGATATTTATCGATTAATATATCGTAAAGGCGTTGATACTTCGAAAAGGTAAATTATATGCGATAAATATAAATTTTTAACAGTTTTTATCATCTACCAAGATATTGATCGATAAATATATCGGAATATGCATTGATAATACGTAAAGATAGTTTATATCAAACTAATCACTTATCTTATTAAAAATGTTTATCAAGTTTAATGGCATTAAATTTACTTATATATATTTTTCGAGATATAGTCGATATGCAAGTTTTTCGATTTTTGTCAATATTTTAATCGGATATTTCCGACTTATTCGCTGATTTTTAACCCCTTCCAGGTCCTTTCAAGAAATACTTGGTTGTTTTGCAGGTGTCAATGCCACTTCTTAATTATCGATATCGATACCAATACCAATAACAATCTTCCGAAAGCATGGATGTGTTTCATCAACAACTTAATTTGATACATATATGTATGCATCACATCTATAATTACCATCGAACACGAGAGTTAGCAAATGCGTTCGCCAGCTATGTAGGCTTCACTGAGTTTTAATTAGCATTAGCTTTATTGATTCGACCAATAATGCGTGTTTGGCAATTATTCTAAAGAGGAGGGTATCAAGTGAGAGAGAGAGAGAGATAGAGAGTGACAAATAGACAATGCGCTTTGATGTAAATATCTTAGTAAGCACAAATCAGTTGTTTATAAAGACTCTTATCTTTAAGGTTAAGCTAATAACTTCTATCTGATATTGTTAGACTCCATGATGTCTACCATCCTTATGAAAAATCTTGGGACCTTTCAAGACATTTCGATCAACTTTAACAGAAACCATGAAATTTTTACTACTACAGGACTATGGTACCATCACTAAATAAACAGTCGGGCTGCTCGCATCCAACGTTGAAAAAAGCCACATCTAGGCCACAATGATGGGCCCTTTGTGATAGGACATCGGAAGCTACTAATATGGATCCTTTTCCTGGAAGCGAAACGAAATAAACGAACTCAGTTTAGCCAGTCACTCTATGCTCTTATACATCGGGGCAGCTGCTTCAAAAGTTATACCACTACAGTCTCTTTCTATCAGCATACGTCCCCTTCAAGCAGTAGCCCGTGATAACCGACCGATTACCTGTCGTAGCAGTGGTCGCGACAGTCTGCCCTGAGGGCTGGATCTTTTCCTGATTGCAGACAAGGAAGTCTTTTTCCTCATCAGTTCATTTGGGTACAGGTGCAAGACTAGGGGCCCTTCCTTCTGCGGAAATAATTTCACAGAGCAAAGAGTGGCACTGTGTGGTGTGAGCAACTAAGGTTTGCAAGAAAAGTTTTCAAAATTCTGGATTGAGTTAAAGGAGTTAAAAACTTAGAGATGATATATGTCTGATACTCCCTTAAACAATAACTCCCTTTATGAGGCTTTAAGGACAAGGTTAATGAGTGAAAATTAATTAAAGAAGATTATTAAAAGAACTAGATGTAATCAACAACTTTTCATCTTTTTTATTTCAACAAATTTTGCCACTCACTCCCACAAACTATGCAATGCTTTAGTTATAAAAGTTGAAATGTTCCATTAGTTCGCCACAAAATTAACATCGCCGCAGTGCTGTACAAAACTTCAGTAGCCTTTGGCATGGTGGTTGTATACATGTAGGTACATATCTACATACACCTGTACTTATGTATGTATGCCCAAATGAATTTGTTCTGCATTGCCAGCGGTGACAAATCACATGACACTGGCACGTAAACTTTGAACACCCACCAGCAGCAAAAATTTAACAATACAAAAAGCTTACTTAATCCAATCTGAATTTATCTCCACCTGCATTCGAAATATAGAAATAAATGTTAAACAAAAATAAAGCAATACATTCACTTCAAAAGCTTCCCATTTGTGCTATGTTTGAGTGAAAAGAAAAAAATAGTTAACCGTCAAGTTGCCATAAATCTTTGTGATGTTACAAACAATTGTAGTCATTAAGCATTTTGATGTAGAAAAGTTGCGCCTTCACCGCACAACCGTTGTTGCTCTAAAAACTAAAAAAAAAACTAAAACTTTAAATGCCCCACCAACAATTTGAGTAACCGCTTGCATCGACCGTTGGTGCCTGCCACATGGTGCGCCAGTTTGCCTCAGCATCCACAACAACGGCAGCTGCGCCACCGCCAGCAATGTTGTCACACCAGTTTTCAGTTCATGCACTCGTTACCAAAGCAAGAGCAATAACAATAGCAACAACAACAACCACAGCACGATCAACTTGTATCAATGCAACAATCAAAACACACTGGACCAAATCAAGCCTTGACTTGAACGGCTTAGCAGCTTGGCACTCCATTGCAGCTTGGCGAGAATCCATTGGCGGACATTCGCAAGAAGTGTCTCATTGCAGGCCCCCCTCGCTTCTTAGCTTTAGCTCACAAGTTCAGTTCCACATTTGTGTGTGTATTTTTTTTTTTCGTTTTAATTTTTTTGGTATGCACCTGGCTAACGTGAAATTGGTTGCTTGGTTGGTTTGTTGTTTTTCGACTTGCCTCACAGCCTGGCGTTTGTACTCATAATGTAACTAAATCTACCACTTGAGTTTGTTGCTGTTCTAACCGTTGTTGCTGCCGTTGCTGCTGTGTTTTTAATCATCAATTAAAGGCGACATGAAAAAATTTGTATATTCAAATGACTTTTACTCGAATGCAAGCCGAGAAAACCTATTCCATGTACTCATCTATCATTAAGATAACAAAAAGGTATGGAGACAAGCGCTGGCTGTTGTTGGCACTTGGTGGAAAAACGCTTTTAGTTAGTATAAAGGTTTACAAAAAAAAAGTGGTAACCAATGTACGTAGCCATAGCTGAGTGTGTGAATATAGAACGTTATTGGTGAGACTTGTTGTAGAAAAAGAAGCACCCAAACTCAGTGCAGGATTTCAGTTCAAAGTGTGGGAAATACGAATTAGGGTATTTCACTACTCTGTTGCGACAATTGCTTGCTACGTGTACTTGCTACTAGTGTGGCATTTACTTGCATTAGCATTCCATGAAACTTCCGCATTCTTTGCAAATAGATGCAGGAGAATATGTATTTTTATCCGATTGCCGACAGTTGAAAGAGCTTTTGTAAAAATGGCGACTAGTCCAAGATGAGACCGATTTCTGTACAGAGAAAAATGCGACAAAATAGTATTTTCATATACATACATATTTATGTTCCAAAAGAGAAAAATAGATAAAAGAGAGGAAGAGAGAGAAAGATCAGAGGTTGCATTGTTAAGACGAGGGCAAAGAAGTCGCCGAAGAGCAGTAGGCTTGTATGGTCCCATTAAGTGCCTTTGGACCTTTAACTTCAGACTGGGCAAATTTACGATGGTGGCTGCCGCAGCAAAATGCTTACAGCGCCTTACTTTCACTCGGTAAAACACAGGCTTGATTTCGTTCAGACCAACATTCACGTGATTCCTTAAAACTTTCGTTTCTCGACAGGAAATATTAAACCTCTAACTGTATTTCTGCCATGAGAAAGCCTTTTTAATAAAAAACCACTTGTCCTTCGGAGTTGGCGTTACGCCGCAGGACCTTCCACTTTATCACAAATTTGTAAGCGCAAAATATCTATTTTATTATTTTAAATTTAAAACGCAGTGGGAACTGGAGATGGAAATGATTCTTAGAGAAACCAGGATCTTCGGAAAATCTTTCCCTCAGGAAGAACGTACAGTTTTTAAATAAAGCTGGCATTGGGTTACCCACTTATATATAAAACGGCCATTAGCATCTGCGTTTTCAAATGTAGCGAATTGAGACATCTGCAAAGTAAGAATTCGGGCTTTGTATTAACCCATTTTCTACCGCCGTTGCGTTTTCGCAACAGCAACCTCCATCAATTGTAACTTACGCAAAACAGAAGATATTTGCTTACTTTTTAATTTACATCGTAATTTGGACCTTTAGCTTTATAAAAATATTTTGATTTTTTTTTACCTGTAGTCCTATTTAGAGGCAGCGCAGGTGAAAAAAAGTATTGAAAAATAATATTTTTTTAAAAAGCCGTTTATATACTAAATTTAACTTTTTTAATCGTTTTATTCGTGTTTCCTAAAAATTAAACATCAAATAACAATGATAGTGTACCAGCTGCCAGTAAAGCTAGCGCCATCTGGAGGAAACCATCTGTTAAAAATAGGTGTTGCGAAAACGCAACGCTGGTTGAAACGACGCATATCACTCTAAAGCTTTAATGACATTATTTTCGGCGCGAAAATGCATGTGTATATTAGTTTGACATAACACTTTGTACCACAAACGCGTTCATTGTTATTTGTGCTTGGAAATATAAAAAGAAAAATATTTCGTGGAACCTTTTCGTAGTTTTGTGGTAAAAAGAGTGTGTTTTGTTCGAATTTCGGTGTGTTACTTAATTTTTCATTGAAGAACAATGGATCGTCGGCGGTTTTTAACCATTAAAGAAATTGAATCCTACATCGATACATCAGGCAGTGAGGTTGAAGACGAAGAAGCACCAAGTTCTGCTAAACGAAGGAAAGTGGATCAAGTTCCTTCGAATAAAATTGCTCGTGTTGTGTACATTCCACCAGCAGATGTTGATGCAGTCAGTGACGAAGAACTAATTGATGATAATGAGTTGATAACAGAAGTACCAGCTATGACCGATGTATGTGGAGAATTAGAAGTCGAGCACGAATCAGGTGTCGTAGATTTTGCATCTCCGCCACCATGTTCATCTGAAACACCTGAGGCTGGACCATCTATTTCTAAAAAAACTACAAAGCATACTGCAGAAAAGGATTTTGTTATACCTAAATGGAAAACAACCAAACGTGTTGATTTTGAATTCGGTCCGCCTGATGAAGCAGCTGTTCAACCACTGCAAAAAAATCGTTGAATCTATGAGTAAATCTGAGTAAAGTTCATGATAATTTTTTTGGCTTACTTGATTTTTCTTTCAGGTGGAAAAACACCGTTTGAACTGTTTCTACAGTTTTTCGATGAAGAAATAATGGAAATGCTCGTCGTGAATACAAATATATATGCTCATCAGAATAATATCGTGACAGATATTACTAAACAGCAGATCTATCGTTTCATCGGAATTTTGATACTAAGTGGCTATCACAAAGTACCTCACGTTGAACATTATTGGAGTACACAGCAAACACAGGTATACCATGTAGTTAAGCAAGCATTATCACGTTATAACTTCCAATTGATCAAAAGGATCTTCCATTTAATGGATAATAATGAAATTGAATCCACAGACAGATTTGCTAAAGTTCGTCCTCTTATCGATGCGTTGAACCGTAAATATATGCAATTTGGCGTTTTTGAAACATTTTTGTCCATAGATGAACAAATGATACCGTATTTTGGTCGACATTCATGCAAGATGTTTATTCGTAACAAACCAATTCGATTTGGTTTTAAGTACTGGTCTCTTTGTTCGCACAGTGGTTATTTATATGCAGTATCACCATATGGAGGATCCACTGTACCGTATGATTGAAATGTAGGTCTAGGAGCTGCTGTCGTACTATCATTGTTGGAAAATGTTCTAAATCCAGATACTCATGCAATTTATTTTGATAATTTTTTTTCGTCGTATTATTTGTTTTGTTTATTGAATGAAAAACGTTTCAGAGCAACTGGAACTGTAAGAGCAAACCGTCTTAGAGGTGCAGAAAAAATACTTAAAACTGGGAAAGAAGTCAAAAAGCACAAATACGACTATTGTTACGAGACAAACAATAAGTTATTCGTTACTCGCTGGCAAGATAATGCGGAAGTTACAGTCATTTCAAACTTCAAATCTGTCGATCCTGTAACTGTATCACAACGTTGGTCAAAAACTGAGAAAAAAAGTTAGTGTGGAACAACCTGGACTTATACATGACTACACTCAACATATGGGAGGTGTTGACTTACATGATAATGCTGTTTCTAACTACCGTATTGGTATTCGCGGAAAAAAATAGTGGTGGCCATTATGGACTAATTCAGTCAATAGTACAACTGTCAGCGCATGGAAAATTCATTGCTTGATTTGTAAATCCGAAGGAACTCGTCCTATGTCTCAAATCGCTTTTAAGACTGACATTGCAGAATCTTTACTTTTATATTGTGAAGAAGTATCAGAAGAAAGTAGTGATCCATCGGACATTGAAGAAGCAGAGAGACCAGTACATTTACCTCGCATAAATGTTCGTGATCATGTAGTTTGGAAGCCTCCAGGCAACAAACGTAAAAGATGTGCTATGTGTCATTCACAAACTGTTTATGAATGCAAAAAATGCAATTCAAGATTGCATCCAAAATGTTTTGATGAATACCACAAAAAAAAAAACAATAACAAAAATTAGTATTAATTATATTAAAATTAATTACTTTTTTATGAAACAGAATTCAATTACTTCAATAAATTAGGTTACAAAAATATGCTTAACTGAAACTCTACATGTGTTTGATTATTTATACAAATCTCATTTCACAGCATTTCAACCAGCGTTGCGTTTTCGCAACAGTTTCTCTAGGTGCATCCGGGAGACCTATCAGTCTGAAAATTGGCAAAAGTGATCAGTAGCGCTCTAGTAACCACCACACGAAATTTCATACGAATATCTCTACGGAATCTATTACTGGTAGATAATGGGTTAAGGCCGATGAGCTGCCGATGCTCATTCTGCATGATTTCCGAGCTTCACCAAGCAAAAACCAAAATATCTCAACCGAGTTACAGTCACTGCCGTTAGAAAAGAGATTGGAAAACCTTAAAATTAAATCAGCGGTGCTAGAAAACATCCTGAAGAAAGCAAAAGCAAGGACCTTCAATGGTGTTATTGATTTTTGGACAACGATTTTTTTTTTAGGAAAAATGGAAAAAGCAACAAAGTTATAGCTTCTGTTGCTCCAACCAACGCCTTTTATTTCCTTTTGCCATCCAGCGCCGTCGAAGGCCAGTTCCTCTCTGTCAGATACGAGCATCAAATCCAAATGAGCCGATCCTCAACAAACAGGCGATATCTTCCCGTCGTTTCGACCTTGTCGTTTCGATCTTGCTGTCAATGGCTACCTGTACATTTGAGGGGGAATCAAAGACCGATTCCGGTATTTTTCCTTCTTAGATGCCTCGTTGGACCCTAACCCTATTTATAGCATCTTTCTGTCAGCGTACGGTTTCGGCTTTTGACGCTGTACCAGTAGCAGTGGCCTGGACCGCTTGCTCCTCTTTAGGGCTTCCATATACCGATGTGTTGTTCGCCTCGAAACCTTTCACCCGCCTCTTATGCTTACTTCTCCATCTTCTAAAGGAACAAAACCGATATTTTGTAGTTATTTTTACGCTACTGAAATTGGCTTACCTCTTTCTTAGTCTGCTTTCTCTGGCCGGCTGTCGCAGACGTGGAAGACCGCGGAGCTTCACCGAGCAGTTGCATCTCTGCTTCGGAGTTAATATCATCGACGTTGCTTGTCCCTGACTTAACTCCGAAGCTGGGACCCGATTTCTGAACCTTGACTGGCTTCTTTTTTACGGCTGCCTACCCGTCCAAAGTGGGCTTAGAGACAGCCCCTTCTACCTTCCCAGTAGCATTCGTAGACTGCACTGCCTGATAAATCGCTGGATATCGACAACAGATGGCCTTCTCGCCCACCATCTACCACCTATCTGGGTATCCGACCCCCTGCACCGTAACATCAATGGTCTCGGCCCGACCTTCCATAGGACACCTCCCCCCTTTGAGGAGTCTCTTTTATATCTGCAACCCCCCGCTCCAAAAGGATACGAAATAGAGTTCTAACAGCCTATTAAATTACCGTCAATGCTAAACTTGCGAATATACAGGGAGCTTTACTGTCTGCCGCTAAGGGTAGTACCAGCATTTTTTCGAAAGTCAGACAGCTCTGAATTCTGTCAACTTGGAAATTATAGTGAATTTCCACAGATAACTCAACTAAATTGCAAAACGCTAATGAGACGCCGAGCAGTCATGCGAGAAAGTAAACATTCCTCCCACCTTAAATGTTTTAGAAAATTTTATATCATATCGTACATTCAGTCCAAATTATTTCTAAAGTGTCCTTCAACTGAAAGCCAGATTTAAGAGAAAAATACTGGAACTGTGCGAAGGTTCAGCGGATATATAAATAGGGCTACAGCTTTACTTCGACAACTCGACGTTGGTTTTAATGAGAAGGCAGAGAGCGAGTCGCGTGGTAGCACAGAGAGCTCAAACGAGGGCTGACCTGACCTCTGCAGATCTAAGAGGATTAAATCAAATCGTACGAATGTTTTAATGACATCAACGATGTCTAAACAGAAGGGTCGTCAGCTCGGTTTTACCCAACTAAGATAACGAAGCAAAATAGATTGGTCTAGCGGTGAGCAAGGACATACATATTACCTCCAGATAATATAGAATGACGCTCTACCCATTTAGTTACACAAGCTACCTTGGCAGCTTTAACAGGTGGTACAATAGGCTTTGTGGGTTGGTGGGCAATTAGAAAGACACAGTGCCCTATTTTGACAAACAAAGATCACACTCTCCAAGTCTCTCATCCTTTCGTGAGGCGCGGGAAGGTGCGCGATGGCGAAAGAATATAAGAAATCCTTTGGAGTCTTTGTTGAGAACTAGCCTTGGCTAGTTCTATGGTCCTGTTAACGTGGTCGAAAAGAAACGAAGAAAATAGAATAATGAACTTAAGGATTTCGAGGGCATGAACATGTCCTACATATCAATGATGGCGTTAGTTGGGTCGGAAGAAAAGAAACGTCTGGCGTGCTTTGTTGGAGTCGGTCAAAATGGCTTAGGCGGTTACAGCACCATAAAAGAAGAAGAAGTTGGGTAGTGATGCTGCGGGGAAATATCCTTCGAGGCGATACCCTGGTGCCAAGGATGGAAATCGAAGGCATAGGCGCACACCTGAATCCAGGGCATGTCTACACTTAGTAGGAATAACTGGCATAATTTAGAAAAGGAGAGAGATAAACGTTAAATATTTTTTACCCCTGACCTAAAATGACTACTCGCCTGCACTTGATATGAAGAAGTTTAGTAGTATTGACACAAATCGAAAAACGACTGAATTCATTCTTACCATGCCTATCAAGTTGCATCAAAATAGTGAACTCCTCATCAAACTTTATTTGCATCCCCAACTCTTTCAAATGCATTCCGATAGTGCTGTGAATACTTACTACTTATATGTACATTTAGGCAACAGAGTGCTCAATGGCTACTTTTCATGCGTTGCAGCATTTTCAATACTCATTACGAAACGGCCAAAAATAGGCGAAAAAATCGCATTACCCTTTCACTGAACCTCATTCAAATACAAAATCTCATTTTCAAAGACCCAAAACTCATTATGCAGCACCAAAACACACTTATGTATGCAGCAGTTAACACCAACAGAATAACAACAAGAAAAGCAAAAGCAACAACAGCAATAGCAACCTGCAATATATGCACAAAACTTTAGCAGCCATCAGCTCGTTTCACTTGTTAAGTTGTCATTCAAACGTTTAACAGCGACGGCACCGCAAACAAAACGAAATGCAATCGTTCGACTGTTCGTGAGTGTGTGTGTGTGTGTGTGCCCTGGTTGCCTGGACAGAATTGCAAATTTGAACACAAGCTCACATGCAGACAAGCGTTTTGTTCCATATCACTGCTGCCGGGGGAGGCTTGCAGCAAACCACACGATGCGCCGCAGTCACAGCTATGCACGCAACAACAATGACAGCAATACACGTAGTGGCAGTAACACAGCAATAGCAACAATCAGTATTATTGCATGAGTGCATGTAGCATGTGGCATGCAACATTCAGCAGCATTTCAACCGCTCCACATTTGACCAAAGTCAATTGACGCATTCCATATCCATCCAAGCTGATCTGTTGCAGTGGCGGCGTTGACTGGTTGGTTGGCCGCTATCTGTACACAATGCACAAACACACAAAGTAACAAAGATGTGGCGGGGGGCGAGAGAAGCAGCACAAGTAAGAATGGACACCACATTCTACATTGACTATGACGGCCAGCGAAACGATTGCTGTCGATATAATGTGCCACCAACACCACCCCGGCCATGTGCATCGTCACAGCCGCTGCCAACAAGATTGCCAATGTGCAACATGAGCGTGCAACCTGTGAACAACAAAGTGGAGTCATGAACTGCGCGGGAATGCGAACGACAATGACGACGAGGACGGCCATGAAGGCAATGGTGTCGGAAAAGACGGTCTGTTGGCTTGCTCGTCGGTCAATCTGTTCATTCAAGCGGATGGACGACGAGCGAACGGTCCAGCGGAGGACAGATGCTTGGCGTACATACATAGGGTGTGTTTATGCATTATTGCTGTTGCTGTTGTTGGCTGACATTGTTGCTGTAATTTATGCTGTGTTCTCGATTGCTGTGGCTCTTGTTGCCGCTGCTGCTGCTGCTGCTAGAATCAACGGATACTAACCGACCATTCGACCTCAACTGGAATGCGCCACATTTTGCAATAAA